CGCACGCTTACACATCGTTCAAAATGAGCACTTACAAAAATAATAAAATAATAATTACTGTTTAGTGGCTGAGCCCAAGCCTAATTGCATACATCATGTGTCTTCTTTTTTTTATTTTCGGGCGTCCGACACCCTGAAAGTTACCGTAGTGAAAGTGTGAAAAAAGTAAATCGTTACGTTGCTCAAAATAGAACAATACCGAATCGGATTCCTGTCTGCAATGACATAAGGACACGCAATTTGAAAGTCTGTCGATCGAATGAATGTAGGTACTAGGACTACGAGCCTTCTGGGGTGTTTCTCTGTGATAGGCCTCCCGTAGTTGTCTATCCAAGCCGCGACGCCAGACATTTAAAATGTCAGAAAAACCTCTTATTACGTCTGCCAACGATAAGACGCGTAGAAAGCTTTAAGAGCGCACTTTTATGCCCCCGCCCCACCCTGGCAAAACAAAATTTGTAATTCCCGTAACCCCCTTTTAATAAATAAATTTGTGTTTTTCCAGAGTCTAACTAACCCTTATAATAAGTTATGGTTCTTTCCAAGAATGGACTAAGGGAGATGATAACCATTAAAATTAGCGTCTATCCCAACAGCTACAAAGTTTGGTCTCTTCATTCCTTTCGTTTATATCTTTTGACATTCATTTGGCTTGTATGACTCCTTAACCCTATCCGTGCGTCGTGTATTACTAACGTCAATTTGAAAATGAAAAAAACAAAAAAACTGTAATCAGTAGCCTATTTGTTTACACATTATATTTTTATTTTTATTTTGGTAAGTGTTTTTCGGTGCTTGCATAGAATCTTATGTCAAATTATGATGGCGGGGGACACATTAAACAGTTTTATGTCGTCGGAAATTTTGAATTTTGCTCGCGTTGCGATCGAAGCCTACCTTACCGATTTTAGACCAACAAGGAAATTTTAACGTTGCGCACGAGACCTCAGATTTTTCGCCCGTGTCCCAGAAGGCTAGGTGTTGATCTTTCCTACCAGAAGATCAGGGGTATGGCTGAAAGACAGCAGTAAGAAGGAGCCAAGGAGTAGCAGTAGAAACCCTGCAGAAAGAGTCAGGAGCCCAAATGACGGGGCAAAGGAGGTGAGGGGGTGGGGGGGGAGGGGGGAGAAAGGGGAGTCCAGAGAGAAGAAAAATGTCCGTCGTTATTCGGGTTCGAACCTGGGACCTACTGAATGAGAGGCGAACACCTTAACCTCCAGGCCACGAGAGTCCCCACACATAATAATAATAATAATTATCAAAATGTTTAACGAGTGAAAAGAAGTTAGGGAAATTAAGATACGAAAGAATGAACTATGGGAGATAACCATTAAAATTAGCGTCTATCCTAAAACCTACAAAGTTTGGTCTCTTCGTTCCTTTCGTTTTTATCTTTTGACATTCATTTGGCTTGTATGACTCCTTAACCCTATCCGTACGGTACGTCGTGTATTACCAGAGAGTTTAGTATTACTATCGTATCCATAGGACGTGGGGGACTCTGTGCCACCACTTTTCAAAGAGGAAATTTAGGCCCACTCGTTAATCCGATCCGTACGCTTAGCACAGCAGTCAGTCAAAATGATTTTTTTAAGAAATACTGAAAGTTCCAAAGAGATCTTCGCACAAGAGTATTCTAAAACGTGAAGAATACAACCCCGTGGGTAAAAAAATGACCCCAGGGCGTACGGATAAGGTTAAACATTAAATAAGGAAAAAGTGTAGGTCACCCCGCAAACTGCGAAAAGATTTGACACGTGACTACGGTGACCCTGACTCGGGTTCAGTTCCCACTCAGCGTGAGTTGACCCTGACAATCTAAGTCTAAGGAGCCTGCCCCTATCTAAACATTCTTGATGGGCATTAAACATTAAATTTCAATACATCATTATCAAATCAAATGTCAAATATATACGCTCAACACATACCACCATTTTCTGTGTGTTTTATATAATTATTTTTTAGTGCGTGTGTATTAATGAGTACAA